CTTGCAGACTGGGGCCATCCAATGCGCATCAAGGGCGAAACACTTGCCCATGGGAAGTGTTCGGGACCTCTGGGGCCGCGCATCGACAAAAACACATCGTCTGGTGTCTAGGGACGGCGACGGCGGCGACGGAGTTGCTGCGGGTGATGGGGGAAGGGAGGAGCAAAGCGGAGAAAGGGGGGGAGAGGGGGAAGGGAGATGGGGGGGGAGTGGGGGGAGGATGGGGGCCGAGGAGGGGGGGAGGGTCAGGATGAGGTGATACTGAGGGTGATGAGGATGACAAGGACGAGGGACGGAGGAGAGGTAGAGGGAGGATAAGGAGGGGAAGTTAGGATGGAGTGCCGGAGGGGGCGGGAGGAGTGGGGGGGGGCGGGGGGGGGGGCAGGGGTGGAGAGGGTGGAAGCAGGGGAGGTAAGGGAGACGGCAGGCAAGGGAGGGGGGGGGAGAGGAGGACAGCAACGAAGAAAGGGAGGGAGGAGGAGGCGGAGGAGGAAGAAGAGGAAGAAGAAGAAGAAGAAGAAGAGAAGAGAGAGGAGAGAAGGGTGGCAAGGCCGAGGATGACGGCGCGGTGGTCGAGAAGCAAAGAGGAGGGCGGACAACGAGGAGGAGAAAGACACGAAGCGGGAGGGGCAGCAGGAGGAGAAGGGAGAGAGGGAGGAGGGCGGCATTGAGGGGCACGAGGACGAGGAGCTGGAGGGGGGACGGGAGGACGACGAGGATGAGGACGGCGAGGACGAGGAGGGAGAAACGACTCGTGAGAAGGCGGCACGACCGGGCCCCTCCCCCCTCCCCCGACATCCGACGTCTCGATTTGTTCGACCACACGGGCACCCGACCTCCACTTCCCCAAGACTGGCTTTTCGTCTCAAGTCGTTTTCTGACGGCCCCGAGGACTGGCAAGGGCCCCGGAAAGCCGACAACGAGAGAGAAAAAAACAGTGCCCCTGCTTCCAAGAGCGGGAAGGGGCGAAGCAGGGCAGAGGAGCGCGTGCGTCGACGAGCGGGCGGCAGGACGCGACGGCGACGGCGACGGCGCCCTCCGCTTCGGCTCCCCGATCCCTCCCCCGCGCGCCGGGCAAGGCGTGCGCCCGGCGGGGGGGAGGAGGCGCCGTGGGCCGCCCGGGCGCGGAGGGCGCGTGCTCGTATCCAGGGGTGGGAGGGGGGAGGAGGAGCGGGAGGATCCCTCTTCTCCGGGTGGCAGGTCTCTCCTTTCCGGGATAGAACACGAGGCCAGGACAAGTATGAAGTCGGGCAAAAAAACAGATCGAGAAACTCTGACATCCGGCGGCGCTGGAGGATGTCTCGGGCGCTGCGGAAATTTTAATGCTCTGAGAGCGCTCCGGAACGCTCTGGAACGGATGTATCCTCGTCCCAGCCCCGCCCGACTCCAAATGACAACTCGTCCCTTTCCTTGGCAACCGTCGTTGCCCGTGGCCCGGAGGCGGGGGGCGGGCGGGAGGAGAACGGGAGAGCGGCGGCCGCGGCGTGCACCCGCCAGGGTGCGTCCGCGCCACCGGCGCATCCATCGCCTGTGTGCACCAAAGCATGTACGAGGGGGTCCACGCCCCCCCCCCCCCAATAATACGATCGTCAGCGTTACCCGGGGGGGGGGGGGCTGGGTAACGAGCGTTACCCTGGGGAGGAACAAAAAGCTTATTAAGGGGAACAGGCAACGACGTGAGCATAGAAACTCCCAGAGGTCCGCGCGGGTTTCTCAGATCCGCGCCGCGGCCCCCTGGCGGCGCTGGCGCGCTCTGGGTCCCAGCGACGATCCGAGAAACCCGCGCGGACCTTGAAAAGTTCATGTCTGTGTCATGGCTTGCTCTCCGGTCCTCCCCCCAGGCGGCAACGACCGCGGGGAGGGGGGGGGGAGGGGCGAACGGCTGCACCCAGCATGAACTCTAGAGCCGGCAGCGACATCGACGGCGGAGGCCAGGTACGCCGCCCTCCTCCCACGGTGCCACGGTGCTCCGCCCTCCTCCCCCTGCCCCCCCCCCCCCCCGGGGCCGCCGGGTGGACACACTTGCCTCGTCCCTTGGGGGGGTCCTCCGCCCGTCGTGCCTCCCTGCCCGTGTACTCTCTCGGACCTCCTTGTTGAATCCCCCGCATGGGAGACCGCCCCTGGGGAGGGGGTGGCAACGTCGAACCTCGAGGAGGAGGGGGAGGAGGAGAAAGAGGAGGAGGAGGAGGAGGAGGAAGAGGAATATCCATCGCGAGGCTGTGCCGAGTGTCTCGGCGGCGCGCCCAGGTCAGTGGAGTAGCGGTATGGATACCTCTGGGCTCCCAGAAAACGACTAAGAAACACCCAACACACAAACAAACGAATCAAGACTGTTAACGGGTGTGTGTGTGTGTATACACAAATATCGGGGAGACGTAAGACCCGGGTACGGGGGACTCGGAAATCCCCGACGAGGTCGTCAAAAAAATGACGAGGCCGAGCCTGCATTTTGACGAGGCCTCCCGCTGCAGACATCCCACAAAACTCCTCCTCGTCAAAATCCGAGTCGCGGTCGTCAAAAAACGATGGCGAACCCGAGTCCCGGCAAACCCGGGTCTTACGCTCCCCCGAAAATACAAATACATGTATATACACATATACCAATCAGAGCGCACCACTGGAAAGAATTGGGGACTAGCGGCATCGGTAACGTTGGCTCGGGCCGCGGAATCGGACCATGGATCGCGGAGTCGGATCGGGCCGCCCATGGATCATGGCGGAGTCGGGTAGGGATCGCAGCGGAATATCGCTTGGGACCGCGGCCCGGGCTTGGCCCCGGCAGAACCCCGAGGGGGATCCCGGGCCGTGCTGCACCGGATGACTCGCGGTCTGACCGGCGAGCCGCGGTCCACGAGGCGCCCGGACACGGGAGGATTGGCGGCGCGCACCAGGGGCGGGGTGGAGGGAGAGGGGGGGGCTTATTGGCAGGAGGCTGCTTCTTACTAAGCGCGGGCCCTACATCTACACAAAGAAGGTCCGCGCATTCTACGGAACAGGGCTGCTTTTAGGTCGGGCATGTCGTACTACAGGCGGGCTTTGGAGGAAAAATTCAAGAGAATAGTCAATTCGCCGGCCCAACGGGCCAGAGGCGCGCTAAGATCTCCGGTAACTGGTTAAGAATTTTCTAGTTCGCGCGCGCGGGGCGGCCCCTGGGGGTCCCCGGACGAAAAGTACCCCGGCAAGGTCCTGAGAGAGTCCCGGGAGGAGTCCCCCAGAGCGCTCCAGGAGCGCTCCATGAGCGCACCAACAGGGCTCCGAGACGTCCCCGAGAGCCCCAAGAAAGGCCAAGAGGCCCCCAAGAGGCCCCCAAGATGGTACACGAGGGGTCCGACATGCCACAAGATCGCTCCAAGACGCCCAAGATAGCCCCCAGACGCCCCAAGAGGCCTCCCAGAGCACTCCCAAGAGGGCCCCCGGAGGCAAAATTCATTGTTTTTCCTTAGGTTTTTGAAGATTTTGGAGCTTCCACCTTTTCGGTTCCCGACGCCCCAAGACGGCCCCAGAGGCCCCCAAGATCGCCCCAAGAGGGCCCAAGAGGCCCCCAAGAGGGCCCCAAGATGGCCCAAGAGGGCTCGAAGACGGCCCAAGAAGCCTCCAAGACGGTCCAAGAGGGCCCCAAGAACACCCCCAAAGGGGCCCCAGAGAGGGAACACGAAACAAAATTTCGCGCCCTCGGCCCTAAGAAGCCCCTACGAGGCCCCAAGAGGCCCCTAAGAGGCCCCAAGAGGCCCCCACGAGGCCCTCAGGAGGCCCCCAAGAGTCCCCCAAGCGGCCCCAGGAGGCCCCCCAAATGCCCCCCCGAGCGCCCCAGGAGTCCCCCAAGCGGCCCCAGGAACCCCCAAAGCGCCGCATTGACACCAGGCCCTCGGGCAAACGGCAGACATGAGACCGTATGGGCCGGCGGAATGAGCGAAGCGATTCAATAATACTCAGAAATAATGAGAAAATCGTCCCAGTACGAGTTTGGGACTATTGTTGAATACTCCCCCTGTAGAGGGACATGCCCGACTTGAAGCTGCTTCTGAGAAACACCCCCTCTCCCCCATCCCCCCCTCTGCGCGTGGCTGCCCGTCTCTTCCTGGGAGACCGCCCCTTGGGGAGACCGCCCCCTGGGGAGGGGGGCGGCAGGCAGGGCTCAACCAAAACAGTGTTTCTCGTGCTCGTTCTGTGTTCGTCTTCCCTCGCTTTGCCTTCGCTCCGCCGTCGCTGCAAAACGAAGTCGAATCGAAAACGGTCCACGGACTCGCCGAAACACTGCTCAGGTCGAGTCCTGGCGGCAGAAGTGCCCCTGGCCAAAGGTGCCCCCCCCTGCGCGCGGCTGCAGGGGAGGAGCGCGAGGCCCGTGGCTTGACGCCCTCCCGCGAAAGCCCCCTCTCCTTCGCGCGCACAGCGCGGTCGCCCCCTCTCCTGCGCGCTTCTCGACTCTGCCTCTTCGGAGGCAGGCCGCGTCCTCCACGCCCCCCCCCCCTTCGGGAGGCGCCGCCGGCCCGGCGCAGCGGCTCTCTCGGTGCCGCTGCGCCTCTGCGGGGCGGAGATGCACGGCGAGTCCGATGCCGACGCCCCGCTCCATGGCCCTCTCTGGGTCGCGCCACTTCGCACATCGCGGCCCGCGATGCGCGATGCGCGGCTCTCGTCGCGTTCCCCGCGGGTGACCTGGATAGTCCGGGGATCTGCACAGACGTCCCGCCCTCAGTCAGGGAAAGACGGAGAGGGAGTGCAAGCAGAGGGACGGGGAGCATCAGAGAAAACAGGCACGAGATGGAGCAGGGAGGGCCCGGAAGCGACGGGGCGTCTCCAGGAGTGCCAAGTGAAGAAGTGACAGCCTGAAAGGGTCGGCGCCAATAGCTGAGAGCGGGCAGGAGCCCACCGATCGTGCGAAGATGCGGCTGGAAGGTCGTGACGAGGGGAAGAAGTGCACAGCCTGAATGCTGGTGGACGCCAACTCTCCGACTACGCCGATCCTGGCCAGACCAACCCATGGGCCCAGAGACGGTGCTGAACTACACCCTCCTGGCCAGGATTCGCCTTGTCGAGATCGGGGCAGATGCACAATTGGCGTCCCCGTGACTAGGCAATGCGATGCTCTCGCCTGCACCTACCGGGACCTGGGTCAGCCAGCAGTCAATCCGACCGACCCGCTGGTGCGGGCATGCGGCAGCGCGCGGATTATGGTGTGCCTCCTCCTTCTCTTTCCCCTCTCCTTCTCAGCATCCATCCTACTCGATCTTCCTTGCTCCCTCATCATCGTCATACCCGATCACCCTGCTTCTCCACGTCAGCACTTCGAGATCATCATCATCATCAGCAGCATCATCATCACCACCACAACCATCATCATAATCATCAGCAGCAGCAGCAGAATCAGCATTATCATCATCAGTATAATCAGCACCCGCATCATCAGCAGCATCCGAATCATCATCAATACATACCTACATACATACATACACACATACATACATGCCTGCATGCATACGTACATTCATAAATGCATGCATACATGCATGCATAAATATAATCGCACATGAATGCATGCATGCATGCATAGTTACATACATGCATACACGCATACGTATATATATATAGAGAGAGAGAGAGAGAGAGAGAGAGAGATCCGCCGGCCCCCTTGCGGGGCCATCACGCTGCGAGGATTAAGGTTGCTGCTCCCTGCACCAGTTCCAGTTTCAAGTGTCCATCGTTACAGTACTGCTTTCTGCTTCCTACTGTAATTTGTCACTGTCCGCGCGAGGGGGGGGGAGCCGAAAAGGGCCCTGGTTAGCGTCCCCTGAGAGGGTTCTCAGAATTTCTGGGGAGGCGTGGGACACGTACAAATACAGAGTCTCGTGCCCCCCAGGCCATAATCCCTCGCAGGTTGTGCTGTAGTCGCGCCCCCGAGGCCACGATCCCTAGTAAAATACGCACAATTCGCGTCTCCGAGGCAACGACCCCTCAAAAAATTACGCCGCTGTCGCGCCCCCCAGGCCACGATCCCTAGCAAATGATTCCACATTCGCGTGCTCTTGGCCACGATCCCCCGCAAATTACATCCAATTCGCGCGCACCCCCCACGCTACGAATCCACCCCGCGGAGGCTGCCCAAAGGCGCCACTCCTTCTCCAGAGCAGAAAAAATAGCCTTCCCAGAGATTGCCTGAAGCAATCCCCAGCCGTTCCCAGAGCGCTTCCAGTGAACAACTGGAGGAAAATGCCAAGAAGGCAACAAAGCGCTCAACAACAACTTCAACATCTCAATATGTTTTGCTCATCGCCAGCCGCCCTAGCATGACGTGCCCGAATGGCATCAAGACGGCGCCCGAACATCCCAATATAGTTTTGATGTATCCCATTATGATAGAGAGGGGGCCGCCGGCAGGGGGCGAAGCCCTTACGGATATGTGTGTATATATATATACATGTACACAAGCATGCATACATACATGCATGCATACGTGCACGCACACATACATACGTACATACATACATACCTCTGTGCAAGCCGGGGAGACTCTCGGGGGCCAGGACTGTTTTGCATCCGCAACTCTGTGTGATGACTCGACCCGGAGTTCCGTGCGACATTGACTGGCTGGGCGAGGCACCTCGACCAAGGGAAACGAGTCCCGAGACAATCACGATCCAACGGACACTGCTCGAGCTGAAAATGGGTGGGAGCGCAGCGTGGGTGGGAGGCTTGAGCACGGGTGGCCGCGGCCCCCTCCCGCTCGCCACAGGCAGCAAAGAATCTATGGCACGCCATTGCAATCTGTGCAAGCCGGGGAGACTCTCGGGGGCCAGGACTGTTTTGCATCCGCAACTCTGTGTGATGACTCGACCCGGAGCTCCGTGCGACATTGACTGGCTGGGCGAGGCACCTCGACCAAGGGAAACGAGTCCCGAGACAATCACGATCCGAAATCTAAAAACTCGAGCAACACCGAATTTTGAAACCCTGGCCTTAGGCCAACACAAACCTGTCCAGGCTACGAAACGAGTGGTTTCGCAAAGCCTGTTGGAAACACTTAACTACCAGCCTACACAAGTCTTTGGGATACGGTTCTGCAATGTGCGTCCAGAAGGTGCCTGAGGCGTCTTTGCCTTCGAGGATCTGATGGGGGCGGCGGCTGAAGCTGCAGACACCACGACCCGAACATTTACACGGTAAGAGAGGGTCGAGGTTGAGATGGCAATATACGAGCCGAGTGCGCTTTCGCCACGCGGTCGAGAACGCACAAAAATCAAAGTCTACAATGCGAGTGTTACGAATGCGACTGAGATGGATTGCACCTGGGAGCTGCCACAACCAAGAGGTGCTAGGGTTCTCAATTACAACTGGTATGTTCAAACTGCGCGCTAGCAAAAAGAGAGAGAAGCTAAAAGTGGCAAGCGTATTTCCTCTCTCAACCTTGAGCTGGTCTCCCGGCGACAGGCCTGGCAACCCCAGCGGGAACTGTTTCGTCCGAAGGGGCGGTGGCCCGTTGGGCCGGTTGCGGGCACGGCTCATCGACTGGCAGGGCGTCGCAATCCAGATTGCGGCAATGAGCCGACTCCGCACCCAGCCCCTCACCAGCTGCCTGATGCGCTTACGGAGGAGGTCGCTGTCGGTGTCGTGGCGAATGTCCAGCTCGAAAGCGGCATGCTGCGACTGGAAGCGCAAGCGCCATGCCGCGGACATCCGCCCAGAGCCGCTGAAGACTTCCAGGAAGACGCCGGCCCAGGCGTGCCTCACCCACGAAGCCAGCTCGCCGACAGGGTGGCGCCAATCCCGCGGAACGCCTGCTCGGCTTGGAGCTGCAGGGCGCGCGGGAGGCGGCGCAGCTGCTCCTGCACGCGGCCGCCCTTGGCGTAGCGCCGGAGCGCGGCATCGGTGGACCACCTGCCGCGCTTCTGGATGTCGCGGAGGGGCCGCGCCGCCGCGTACAGCTCGTGGCTCGCGCCGCCGTGCCGCAGCTGGTGCAGCGTCAGGTTGCCCAGGACCTGCAGGCCGAGGTCGGAGACGGCGGCCTTGAAGCGGTAGTTCCACTGTGCGTAGGTGACTGGGAACAGGCGGTGGCCTGCGGGCGCGCGGCGGTGCAGCTCCTGGACGAGGTGCGGCATCCATGGAAAACAGGTCGAGTCCACCAGCAAGCTCTCGTCGAACACACCTGTCTTGGACGGGGTCTGCCTCTCGAACAGATGGAGGACCACGCACCAATGGTGCATCGTTGTGGCTGAGGTGAACCCTGGTGGGATGAGCTGGGCCTGCACGAGCTCCAGCGCCTCTCGCGGCCTCAAGTACAGGCCGAACGCGAGCGCGGTCAACCACGCATACATGGCCAGGCCCCTGCGGCACAGGACCTCCACGATGAGGCACACCACGGGCCAAGGGAGCGGCAGGCGCGACCGCGGCGGTGCCAGGCGCGACCAGCCCTTGGCAGCCCGCGCCGCCCGCGGCAGGCGGCCCTGGCGCGGTCCGAGGTCCGGGCGCACGAAAGCGAGGGCCGCCATCAGCTTCCAGGCGTCGCTGCTCTCGCCCCCGTCCAAGAACTCCTCGTGAAAAAACAGCACCAGTGTCTTGTCCACCTCCGTCGGCGTCCCCAAGGAGTGGCCCCGCTGGCAGGCCCACAGGCTGAAGGCAGCGTGCCGGCGCTCGTAGTCCGCCCTGGTCGCATCCCCCACTGACTGCTCCTCCAGGAAGGTCAAGCCCCGGCGGGGGGCCGAGGGCGGGAGTGCAGGGAAGCGGCTCGCCCTCTCCTGCCGGCGAACAGCCCGGCGGTCGCTCTCGGCTGGGCGCGCCACTGTCTCTGACGCCACGCGCGGCCTGCGCCGCGACTGGCTGGCAGCGGCCGCCGCCACAGCAGCCGCTGGCCGCTTGCGAGACCGCAGAGCCGGCGCAGACGGCATCGCCATGCAGCCGAGGGCCGACATCGACAGCGGCGCCGCCATCGCGTCGGAGAGCTGCCGCTTGGGCCGGCGCACCGGGCGCGGCAGGCCCTGATGTCTTGGCCCGCGCGGCTTCGGGGATATCACCAGCCTGGGCACGAGAGGCAGGGTCGGCGCTGTTGTGCTCGGATGGGACCCAACGCCAGACTGCCGAAGACCCCGAGGCTAACAGGAGGGCGCAGGCCTGGCGACAAATCCGCAAAAGCGGGGGCGACGATGATCTGCCTTTGAGCAACGCCAACACTGGAGCCATGGAGTCATTCAAGATGATGTGCGTGGTGTTGAAATTTCGAGCGGCTCGCAATCGGTGCTTCAAGCATAGGACTAGCGCTCTCCCCTCCAATACCACCTGCGCCTCCCTCCTGGTCCATGGTGTAGACAAAACCCGATGCCATCCTTCCGCCCAAACCACCTCCGGCACCTCCTCGAACATGACCTCCTCCTCACGATTAAGCTTCGGCTCGACTCGGAAGGGGAAACGCTGCTCCATGGCTGCTGCTATGACTGCTGGATCTCGATCGTGCTGCGACGAGGCGTGCTTGATGCATGATGCGGTGATATGCTCAGCTTGCTTGCTCTCCCGGGCCAAGGCCTTGTCCCGCGGGGCGACCTGCTGCTCTCCATCACGACTGAACCTCCATCGCTCGTTGAAGATAGACAGTCGACGGGCTTGATCTGGGGTGATGGTCTTCTCAGTCACTCCTGCACCCCACCACGATGCGTCCACGCAAGATACGACTGGCGAAAGCGGCCGCCCGGCGTCTCGGAAGCACAGGGGCAGCAGCGCGCGGCACCAGGTCAGCTCTCGCCTCACTGCCGGAGTCAGCCGCCGCCTCTCGCGGCCGCCGTCCCCCATGAAGCCGTATGCGGCCCCCAGGCAGCTCAGCAGCTCGCGGCGAATTAGCGCCCTCGACGTGAAGTGAGATATCACCTTCATCATGGTGTGGCCACTGCACCAGCCTCGCTCCAGCAGCTCGCCGATACCCAGACGAAGACGCCAGCGGAGGCGGACGCTGAGACCGATCACGGGCTTGTCCTCGTCGAAATGCCAGCCCAGCGTGTCGCCGCCGACTGATGCCTCCACTGGGTGAGTGGGCAGGCTTGAAGCCGTCAGCTCCTTCTGCGCTACCGCAGCCGCGTCGTGTACCTCGCTCAACGTGTGGGAGAGGGCGATGAAGTTGTCAACGTAGACCGTGTGCGCCATACCTTGCTGCAGGACAGGCGCGGGCCGACGGTCCACGAGACGACGGCCAAAGTGGCCAGGAAGGGCCCGAGCAGTCACCGCCTCGTTCAAACTCTGGCAGATCCACAGGCTGATGCTCCAGCCCATCGGCGGGCACCTGAAGCACGGCACGACCCAGGACGACGGCCGCACCGCCGACCCATCGGACAGGTGCGTGAGTCCGAGGTCGCCAGCCTTCAGCCTGGGCAAGCCAAAGTAGCGGCGAAGCCACGACGGAAGCTCGATCTGGTAGAAGGCGTCGCAGATGTCGACGCCCCCGATGCTGATGGGCTCGTCGCCGTCGACCGAAATCTGAGCGAATGCAGACCCCGTCGCCAGCTCCACGGAGTCGGCAGGCGCGAACCTGAGGGATGCACGGCGCCCATCGAGGATCATCCGCAGCGACCCGTTCTTCTTGCGCACGAAAAACATGCCAACGCAACACTCCGCCGAGCTGTAGAAGTCAACCAGCCCGGCGTCCAAAAGCCGCCGCACCACCATCGAGTAGAGGCGCGGGTTGCGGAGAGCTGGATCCGTGTAGAGTCGTCTCGGACCTGCCTCTCTGATGCGCTCCAACCCCAGCTGTCGGGGCAGGAGTAACTCTTTCAACCGATGAGCGATATTCTGGCCTGCCATCTCGTCGATCGTCTCCAGGGCGGCGGGTGGGCTACCAGCAGGAGGCAATGAGATGGAGTCGACGAGGTCGAAGCTCACCGGGGCAACCAACGTGGCGTCACCCTCGTATGATTGAGATATCCGGAGCTCCTCAAGGGCCCCTGGACCGTCCAAGCCTTCCGGGCACGGGCCAAACCTCAACGCGGCCTGGCGGAGCTCCGAGAGGACGAGGGCGTGGCCAGCTGCAGGCGCCGACGTGCCGGCGGGCGCTTGACGGCACGCCGCCGGCGGGCAGCCCCAAAGCTCGTTCAGCGCGTCGGTCATCTCGTCGACCATGCCGCGAACGTGGGACCGCTTCTCAAGGCGCCTGCGCACTGACCTCGATGGCAGGGTAGGTGTAGAAGGAGATGGGGCCCCAGCGCCAAAGCGGGGCAAAGGAAAGAGATCACGCTGGCGAAGATCGGCGCTGGAGTTGGAAGCCTCATGTACAGGTAGATCTGCTGCACCCGCGAGGCCCACGGGCGCCCCCTCTCTCGACCTGGCAGGCTCCTGGGCGAGGGGCTCCCAGAAGCCGTCCGCGTAGCTCATGATGACAGAGCGCGACGCTCCTCTCGGGCCTTCCTGATCTGCTTCAGGATCCCTGCGTCGCGCTCCGCCTGCTTGGAGACATGCTCCAGTAGTAGCGGGCAAATCATCGAGCGGCCGTCCTCCTTGGCCGCCCCGGTGAACACCGCAGCTTCGTCCACGATGCCGAATCGGTGAAGCCCTCCTCCACGCCCTCGGCCCCTCTTCTTGCCGTCGCCGTCGTTGCCGTCCTTGGAGCCCCTCGACTGCTGAGCCTCGAACTCCATGGAGTGGATGTACTCGTAGAGCTGCGCCTGTCGAATGGCCAGCTCCGCCCCGACCAGGTCGGGGAGGTTCACCTGATCCCAGCACGCGAGGTGCTCTATCATCTTCATGATGTTCTCGTAGTGGGCGACCCCGTAGTCCTCCTTCGTGAGGTGGTAGAAGGACACGAAGCTGTTGTAGTGCTCCACGGGGCCGCCTCTCTTCCTGTCGATGAACTGGGCGCACCACAGCATGGTGCGAGGACCGTCGAGCAGCCACCCAGGGATGATGTTCTCCACCATCATCGGCACCGCGTCGCGCCACGCCAGACGCTGCCTGGAGCCGTCAGGCCGAGGCGGCACGCCCAGCAGCCTGATGTCCGCCCCGCTCTCGGCGCACCGATACACCGAAGGGTCCATCGAGATCCGACGGATGGCGACCCACCCCGCGCTCAGCTGGATGAGTCCGATGTCCCCTTCAATCCGCTCGGTCCCGTTGAGCTGCACCACGTCGCCCCGATTGCCTCCACCAGTGCCCTCGATGAGCACCCAGGCCGGGGTCGGCCCCCCAGGCGGCCCAGCCGCGCCTGCCTCAGCCGGCGGCGGACCGCCAGCGGCGCCCGCTGGGGCGCCGGCAACAGGCACGGCTGCGCCAGCCGCGAGGCCCGCTGCAGGGACAGCGGCGGCGCCGGCGGCGGCCACGATCGCCAGGGGCGCAGCAGACGCCGCGCCAGCGGCGCCTCCACCCGCGGGCACGAGGGCGGCAGGGCCTGCGCCAGGGACGCCTGGTCCAGGGGCAGCAGCAGCGAAGTCGAACTCCACGTAAGAGCCGCCCGCTGGGAGCACGCGCGGTCGGCCAGCGGCGCGCTCTCGATCCAAGTACAGCTCGTCCGCCACCTGAATGAGAGCGTCCTGAATGGCGACCGTCTCGCGCCCGTTCAGCTCCCGCCTGAAGCGGTAGAGTAGGTTCGGGTCCACACCCTGGAGCGCCTGGCGAGTCGGGCTGAAGACCACAGTGACGATATCAGGATTGCCCCGACTGTACCGCTCCTCGTACACGTCATGGTCAGCACTAGAGATCAGGAGGTCCAGCGGGTCACTGCTCCCCGCTGCTGGATCCGCCAATCTGCCCCAGACCCTCCGCTGGTGCCAGAGCCGCTCTCCTCGATACAGCACCCAAGCCCAGCGCAGGACGCCGGGCGGTGGCGGCACTGTGGCGGCCATGGCGACGGCACACGAGGCCCTTCACGAGACTGACGATGCCGCGCCAGAGCTGTATCGTGGCCAGGACCACGTGGCCCAACAGCAGCGCCGCCCAGCTCCAGAAAGAACTCGAAGGCAGCTCCGCCGGCGCTGCCGCCGGCTCGGGTGCCGGTGGCGCCGCGGGCGCCGCCGGCGGCGGGGGCGGCGCAGGGGGCGCCGCCGGGCAGATCAGCTGCTCCTCCGCAGCACGGCAGTGGACCTCCCCACACGAGAGGTTCGGGCAAGACACCGACGGGCACGTCGGCGAGGCTGGGCACGAAGGGACCGCGGGGCACGGCGGCGCACGCGAGATCCAGGCCGCCAGCAGGTTGGTGGCGGCGCCCAGGAGCCACACGAACGGCTTGCCAACCATCCGCGCCTCTGCCTGGACAGGTGCCCCCAGCTCGCTGGATGAAAGGCTTGAGCACGGGTGGCCGCGGCCCCCTCCCGCTCGCCACAGGCAGCAAAGAATCTATGGCACGCCATTGCAATACATACATACCTACATACATACATACAATAATACATACACTTATATAAATGCATGCATGGATGCATTCATGCATCAATACATCCATCCATACATTCATATATACTTACAATCATACATACATACATACACACGTGCATACATACATACGTAACTGCATGCATACCTACATACAGACACGCATACATGCATGCGTACACGCATGCATGCATGCATGCATCCATACATCCGTCCAACCAGATACACATCTATATTATCATTCACACACGCATACACAAGCATGCGTAACAACTGTAGGTGTATACATTTATATATGTATATACATACATACATACGTACATACATCCAAACATGCATACATACGTGCATGTCTGCATATATGTATATTTACATGCATGCATACAGCAATATATATACATACCTACATACATACATACATACATACAGACAGACAGATAGACAGACAGGCAGACAGACAGACAGACATGCATGCATGCATGCGTACACACGTACACATATGTGTGCGTGTGAAAACCATACTGGGAGGGGCATACCTATCTGGACTCCGTTTGAAAAAAAATTGTCTGTGGGATCGTGCCAACAAATTGCGGGCGCGCGGCTGGGGCGGGACACGCATCGAACACAAATTGCCTGTCGGGCGAGCGTGGGGTGGGAATAGACGAAGAGCAAAAACCAAAAACGTTTGGCGATCCGCGCTGATTACTTGGATCTGCGCTCTACCCCCTTCCCTGGCGCGAGTAGCGCGCCAGGGGCGGCGCCGGAGGCGCTGCCAGGGGGGCCACAACACGGATCCAAGAGATCCGCGCGGAGCGCCAAAAGTTTACGTTTATACCTTTTTTCCTTCTTCGACGGAAAACCAAACTCCCGTTGCGGGGTTGCGCTCGAGAGCGTGAGCAACGGACGACTCGCCAGACCCCAGCAGGCCCGATCACCTACGTTCGTTAACCCGCGCAGCGCGGAGCGCCATCCTCGACGGGCACTCGGGCAACGCTTGGGAAGCAATTCCTGGGAGGCCTTCGTGAGAACGAGCATGGGCCGTCAAACCAGATTAGAGGAACAAAAAACGGCATCAACATAAACTTTCGGCGCTCCACGCGGAATTCTTGGATCCGCGCTGGACCCCCGTCCCTGGCGCGCGGAGCGCGCCAGTGGCGGAGCAGGAGGCGCCGCTGGGGGGGCCCGGCTCCGATCCAAGAAATCTGCGCGGACCGTCGAAAATTCATGTAGTTATTTCCACTTCGATTCAGGGGCCCACTAAGCCCGACCAGGCTGACGGTCGCCCAGGACTAAGCTGGGTCAAGCGGGACTCAAACAGATTAAACAAGATTATGCCAGACTGGGCGTGATCTCGACCACGGACTTACCAGCGCCGATGCTGACCAGGAGCTGCATCGTCACGGCCCCAACGAAAGAGACAACAACACAAAAGCAAAAGACTGAGCCCCGACCAAGACCAACAGCGCAAACGTCTTCGCGACCCGTGGGCGAGCCCGCAGATCTGCCATCAACGCCTTCACCCGCGATCAGCTCTGCAACCTCCTCCTCCATATCCTCCTCCATATCCTCCTCCATATCCTACTCCCCCTCCTCCTCCTCCTCCTCCTCCTCCTCCTCCTCCTCCTCCATATCCTCCTCCTCATCCATATCCTCATCTATATCCTCCTCCATATCCTCCTCCCCCTCCTCCTCCTCCTCCTCCTCCTCCTCCTCATATCCTCCCCTCCATATCCTCCTCCTCCTCCTCCTCCTCCTCCTCCTCCTCCTCCTCCTCCTGGCAACCAGAGCTGCGAGGAGATGCCAGGCTCCCACGGCTTGCTGCCGAGAGCACGGGGGCCGGCCCCCCCTCCTGCTCCTCCTCCGCGTCCTCCCTGCGGAGCAGCGAGCTCGCTCGTCGCCACCCTGCTACACCAATGGGCGAGCAACGACACGCATCCTCCTCCTCCTCCTCCTCTTCCTTCTCCTCCTCCCCCTCCTCCTCCTCCAACTCCTCCTCCTCCTCCTCCTCCTCCTCCCCCTACCACTACGCCCTCCGCGGTCTTGCCTGCACGAACGTCCGCGTTGACACGCACTCCAGGGGGAGCTAACCGCGTGCGTGTACATATGTTGCTGGCCTCTGAACCAAGTAACCGGCGGAAGCCTACGGCGCCATCACTGGGGGAACGAAAAATGGCGCAGACATCAAAACTCTGAGGTCCGCGCGGACTTCTAGGACTCGCGCCGGACTCCCCTCCCTGGCGCGCGGAGCGGAGCGCGCCAGGGGCGTCGCCGGAAGCGCCGCCAGGGCGCCCCAGCGCCGATCCGAGAAATCCGCGCGGACCTCCGGTGTTTCCTGTTTGTGTCATTCTTCGTTCCCGTAACCACAGCTTGACCCGTGGTTCCGGCTTCACCGGCTCGCGCGGCGCGCAGGCCAGCCACGCGGTCAATCCCGAGCGCCGCCCGCAGCTGCCACGCTGTGGCCCGCTGCAGGGACACAAGGCAAAGGCGCATAGGGGGCGTCCCGCAGTCTCCTGCTGCAAACACTTGGCCCCAGCGATGTATAAAGACGCGGGGAGGGGGCAGTATCCCCCAGGACCGCGGAGCTGGGCTCGCGGGCTCACCTGGCCACGAGCTGCCCAGCGACAGCAACAGCGCCGCTGGTCTCCTATGATGGGAGCCAGCAGGGGGGCACTGGCTCCGGAGGGGAGCGACTACTTGGAATCGGCAATGCATCGCCCTCCTGGGCGGTGGTGAGCACGGGCCCCGATTGGCGATGGATGGGGCGATTGGGCCCCCCTAGGCCATGTCCCACCCACCGCTGCCAAACATGCATACACCTCCCTCCCTCCTCCTCCTCCTCCTCCACCTCCTCCTCCTCCTCCTCCTGCTTCGCCTCTTCCACTACCACATCATCATCATCATCATCATCATCATCAGCATCATCATCATCATCATCATCATCATCATCATCATCATCATCATCATCATCATCATCATCCTCATCCTCATCCTCATCCTCATCCTCATCATCATCATCATCATCATCATCAACATCATCAGCATCATCATCATCAGCAGCAGCACCGGCAGCAGCATCAGCATCATCAACATCACCACCACCACCACCTTCATCATCATAGTCGTCTTCATCATCATCATCAGCATCAGCATCATCATCGTCATCATCAATCATCACCATCATGATCATAATCTTCATCATCAACATAATCATCATTAGCATCACCATCAACATCATCATCATCGTCATCATCAGCATCAGCATCATCAGCATCATCAGCACCATCAGCATCAGCATGATCATCACAATCATCTCATCATCACCATCATCAGAAGCATCACCACCAACATCATCACTATCAGTATCATCAACCACATCACCATCACCATCACCATCACCATCACCATTACCATCACCATAAACATCACCAGCATCATCATTATCGTCAGAAGAATCAGCATCATCGTCATCAGCAGCAGCATCAGCATCATCATGTTCAGCAACATCATCACCATCATCGTCAGCATCACCATCATGATCATAATGAGCAGCATCAGCATCATCATCAGCATCTGCAACAGCATCATCACCAGCAGCATTATCAGCATCAACATCGTCATCATCATCATTACCATAAGCATCACCAGCATCAGCATCACCACCACAACCATCATCATCATCGACCGCAGAACCATCACCATCAACATTACCACAAACATGACCAGCATCATCTGCATCATCTTAAGCATCAGCATCCGCATCAGCATCACAATAAGCATCGCCAGCATCATCATCAGCATCAGCACCAGCATCAGCACCAGCAGCAGCATCATCATCAGCATCATCAGTTGCATCATCATAATCAGGAGCATCAGAATTAGCATCAGCATCAGCAGCAGCGACACCATAATCAGCATCAGCATCATCATCATCAGCAGCATCAGCGTTACCATCTAAAGCATCATCATCAGCAGCAGCATCAGCATCGTCATCATCATCATCACCATAAACATCACCAGCATCAGCATCACCATCACCATCCTCATCATCATCATCATCATCCACATCACCATCACTATCACCATCACTATAAACATCATCAGCATAAACAGCATCATCATAAGCATCACCATCACCATCACCATCACCATAATCATCATCATCAGCGTCATCAGCATCATCATCATCAGCAGCATCAGTAGCATCATCATAACCAGGAACATCCGCATCAGCATCAGCACCAGCAACCGCAACAGCATCATCATCACCATCATCGTCGCCATCTGAATCATCATCATCATCAGCATCAGCATCATCATCATCGTCATCACGACAACCACAATCATCATCATAATCATCATCATCATCATCATCGTCATCAGCATCACCACAATCATCACCATCATCATCATTTCACCACCACCACCACCACCATCCTAACCATCATCACAATCATGGCCGTCACCATCGACATCACCATCACCAGTACCTCACCATCCTCCTCCGCGTCATCATCATCAACATGTTCATCATCAGCCTCATCCTCATCATGTCCAACTCCCAGTGAGCCTCAACGCGGGAAATACTGCGGGACGTCGGGTTTCCTGTGCCGAGCTCTCCTTGTGCCATATTCGTGATAACAACGTTGTTCGAAATCGTCGTCAACATCGTCGTCCTTGTCATCGCATTCGCCGCCCATCATCATCACCACCGCCCATCACCATCAACATCACCCGCATCATCAGTAAACAACATAACCATTCATCCTGCCTTGCCCCTCCTTCCTCCCGTCCTTTATCCTCCCTCTGCCTGCTCCTCCTCCTGAGTACGCTCGCCGCGCCACTCCACCCCGACTGCGCGGCTTTCTTCCATTCACGCACGCCTCTTCCAGATGCCTTGGGAGGTCGGGAGCATGGCGCAGAGCGTCTGAAGGAGCCTCGCGCCCACGGCCCCGCAGCTTTGCTCAAAGGTGTGGTGCGAGGTCGGTGGGCCGATCGCCCGGGCTCATACCGCCAGCCCGGTCTTGGGGTCGTACTCCGCCTCTATCAGTATGCCGTCCTGTGGCCAAGCGAGGCTGGCCGCGCGGAGCCCCTGGAGAGCAACGGCAGGACACGATTCACTGCAACGGGCGCCAGGGATGCAGCGCGCAACAACCCAAGTATACCACTACGACTGAACCTGCGCCTCACCAGACCCAAACTTGCTATCGCCACACATTGTTGTGTTATGCCATGGGCAGGTTTACGTATAGTCTTACAGTGCCAACGCATGGGTTCGATATCCTCAAGGCCTATTGGCGCATGGTTGGGCGCATGGGCTTGCGCGACTGGACACGGAGCATAGCACGAGAGCGCAGACGTGCTTGTTCGCAAATGGGTCTGCGCATGGTGATTTTCCGCACACGCTTGCGAGAATCGAGGAGTAATATAGGAGTAGAGGAGGAGCAGGAGTGTACTGAGAGTAGAGCAGCAGCCAACACACATGCAAAACAACGAATAGACCAGACTGCGCTGACGGAGTGCGGTTGTACCCACCCATCCACCCGATCGCAAACCTGTACTCACTTATCACCCATCGCTGCATCAAACTCCTCCTTCACATCAGAGAATATGACTGAAGTGTATGTGTGTGTGTGTGCACGCGTGCATGCGCCAATACGTGCGCAAGGCCACGCCAGCAGATGAACACCAATATCGAAACACCCCTTGGCAAGATGAACGTCATCCAGGCTGTGGGCGACACCCGCTTGCAAACCCACGGCCCATGATCTTGGCGAGCGCCAAGGCTGGATCTGGCCTCGCACCAAATGGTGCAAAACATGCACCTGGCTATGAATGTGTGAATGCGATGTATACACATGTTGTGTATATACGTATGTTTATATGTATGTGTGCATGCATGCATGAATGCATGTATGCATGTGCGCATGTATGCACATGACCATATTCAAAAGTGTACGTGAATGTGTCGCAGGGCCCAGAGCATGCAAAAACGTAATGGAATATGCCGGCGTCAGATGGGCAGCCTGGAACGGCCTGGTCGAGAAAGGTTGTGACAATAAGAATCATACTGATAGTGCTAGCAGGCCGTGAGAAGCGTAAGAGTGGAGTAGAAATCAAGCTAGCCAGCTTGAACGAGTCAGCTGGCCACGCCTACTCCCAACATCCCTCCCATGGAATAATAGCCCATGCTGGCGCATAGGGATATTGGGAATGGCGCGCGCGTTCGCGCCTTTCGAACGGGAGGCCCTCGCACGCGGCCCCGCGGCCGACGACCTGCGGAAAGGCGCGCGGGCCACACGCAGACGGCAGCGCAACGTTCAGAAGATCCTTGCGCCGCAATCCGGCGAGAATGCCACTGAGACATCGAGCGCGCGGCCGCATTCGAGATGAGGTCGGCGAAAGTCAGAGCACGAGCCGCGCCGAGGAAGTAGCGCTGCGTTTTGGCGAAATCTGCGCGGCGCTTGGGCGAGAACGACATGTCGCCCGCTCTCGCGCGGCCTCGCGGGGCGAGCGAGCAAGGTGCGCGCCGATCCCTGGCGGGAGGGCCACTCTCAAGAGCAAGCCTGCACGGCGCCTGGGCGAGGGGCATTGCCCGCTTGCGCAGATCCCCCAATCCCAACGGCTGGCCGAGCGAAACAGGTGCGCCAGAATAGAGACTGAGCCGAGCAGGGGGAAGATAGGAGCGCAGTTAGAGCATAGCAGGGTCAGATTAGGAGTAGGGGAGGGCACTGCAGAAACTACTCAGGAGCGCAACAAGGCGACCTCCTCCTGATCATTGTTTTCCCTCCTCTGGTTCCTGATCCTCCCCTCATCTCGTCCTCCTCCTCCTCGTCATCATCCTCATCCACCAGAACTCAAAAAGAACACGGTCATTCTGCTGCGGCGACGAGGAGCCTCACATCGGAGACACGGCGAAACAACACACACACACAAAAAAAGACGTGGCAGTTCCGATCTGGCCGCCAGCACCTTCGGCGGCGGCATCAGCAGCTGTCGGGGAGGCGGCCCACGAGATCCAGGGCAAGGCGGAAAGCTCCGTCGGCCCCAGCGCTGGGATCGGTGTGTGTGTGTGTGTGTTGTGTGTGTTGTGTGTGTGTTGTGTGTGTGTGTTGTGTGTGTGTGTGCGTGTGTGTGTGTGTGTGTGTGGTGTGTGTGTGGTGTGTGTGTGTGTGTGTGTGTGTGTGTGTGTGTGTGTGTGTGTGTGTGTGTGTGTGTGTGTGTGTGTGTGTGTGTGTGTGTGTGTGTGTGTGTGTGTGTGGTGTGTGCGTGTGCGTGTGCGTG